GCTTATTATACCGTACATACATGTACAAGCATGCTCGTCACGCTTGCAGCAACGACAGCAGGTAAGCAGCAGAAATAGGTAAATGATCAAGTCTGGTGCGTGGTCTTTGTTGCTAACTGGAAATATTTTTAGCACACCACACTGTGCCTCTTCATTTGATATTATTTGCATAAGACTGTACCAAGCACAGTACATGTACCGGTACTACCCAAGTTGGGGCCTTTAAATGTAGTCGAGCCGGTATATCGGTGTGGAACAACAGCTAAATTTGTAGTCTACGCTTGCAGACGGACACAAGTCTTAAGGCGGTTGTTGCAAGAGATCTATGTGCAAACGTTAACGAGGAGAAATAAGTCGTATTGCCGGAGCAATTTGCGCTGGCTAGGACTGGCGGCAGCTTGCGCAGCTAGTGCTCGGAGCTCGCGTCAACGGATGGCCTGGGATGAGGTCGCACGTGGAAGCACCTTGTAACGGGGTACGTAGCCCTTACTGTACCCCTAGTTACATGAAGTGTGACACGTCATACTCCGGGATATTTGGTACAAGGTACCAAGGTTGTCTAAAGCCAACCATTGGCTGGTGACATTGCATTTCTATAGGTGACTTATAGTTTGTTATAAGCCCAAGCTTTATCTACCTATAAATATTCTCAGTTTACGTTCTACCTTAAATAGGTCACTTCGCTCTCTTTTGATAAAGAGAGGACATGTGAACTGCCGTTCACTGAGAGATTGTATACTCTCAGGAAGCTAACTTCCTCAAGCGCAAGGTGCTGTGTGACCCCGTCACATTGAGATTCGAGATGCCCCTACCGATGGCAACGAGGCTTAGCAAATACATAGAACCCAGAGCAACATATTGCGGACAGTGCCCGTAAAGACTTCGCTGCACTCCATTCCCAGCTATTTAGCCTGCAACGCTAAGTTGCTGTCATGTTGAGCGAGGGCCTCCGCTCGCGTACCGAAAGCCAGCGAAACCATCAAAAGAAATTGGCTGTCTACCGGCGTATTGCTCTATAGCCTGTTGCAAGGAGAGTGTCGCTCAATACGATCGTCGCCACCGAAGCATGCACAGATGACAGTGCTGCGCACGAAGCTCACCACGCGGTACTGTCGAAAAGACCGAAGGATCTGTACGAGTGGGGGGGGGGGTACGAGTTCGGCTTAAACGGCTTAAAGCCAGCGAAAGCGTTTACCGGTACCGAGTGAGGAGCCAACAAGTTTGCCTACTCAGGGTGCAAATTTTTCTGGGACGTAGTCTCTGGATTCGTTCGCGCAGGATTCACTAGTGATGTTGTTATCGACAAAGTATACGCAGCATACAGGCGACAGCTTCCTGTGACAAAAGTTTAGCTGCTCTTCGCCGAGACAAGCAACAAGGTGGTCATTTGTCATATCGATGGTAGCTCTTAGTGAGTCAGATTCAGTAAGAAGGCATTTCCTCCAATCACATCGTGGTTGCACTCTCTGTTGCACGTTTGGCGGGTATTTATGAAGATTAAGGAATGGGTGTCATCAGGCTTCAAATCTCCAAAGGTGGAGGACTTCGCGTGAATTTATCACCCTCCTAAACCAAAACCCAGACCTTCCTGGGCATTAGCCATTGGCTGAGCGAGGTTTAGTCATGCCACTCATATTATGAGTGGCTCCGAGACGGCGAGTGAAAGAATGGGGCCAAGAGCCCAGCGTATGCCATGAAAACCGTACCAGCTTCGCTTTGAAGGCAGATTCTCTCCAACGGAGAAGGGGTACACTGCCGGCTAGTCTCCTATAAATATACTCGATTTACATACCTTAAATAGGTCACTTCGCTCCCTTTCGATAAAAGGGGGCCTGTGAACTGCCGTTCACTGAGCGTTTGCATACTCTCGGAAGCTAACTTCCTCTAGCGCAAGGTGCTGTGTGACCCCGTCACAGCCAGAGGTTTTGCACTAAGACTTGCACCTTTGAGAACCCTAATAATTTTGTGGCCTTTTTTCAACTTTTGTAATTTTGGCATTCATAGGCTGAGTCAGAAAGATAGCTGCGGTCCGCAAGCTGGGCCCCAAATGTATTGAAAAGGCCGAGTGTAGCCATACAAAAAGGTAGAAAAAAGCAGCCAATTTTTTTACAATACTGCTGGTACTGTAGTAAGTCTGAATGAGGTCCCATCGGGTTTCGACAGGGACTAATCACGACTAGTATGCTTAAATAAATATTCGATCAAGGATAAGAGCACATCGATGATCACATGCGACGCCAAGAACCTGCAGCTCTTCCTGGTGAAGAAGAAGAAAGGCGCTGGGGTAAGGCTAACGGAGAACGACTTTACCTCCGCTTATTAATATGCTTAAGTTCAGCGGGTAATCTTGCCTGATATCAGGTCCAATTGAGATGCATACCGAAGTACACAACATTTCCCAAATGGATCGACCCTCGGCAGCCGAAGCCGCCACTCTACTTCGCAACAGCAAAGCCGATTCAAATGCCAAGCTAAAGAGCCATGGTTCACCAGTCCATCACGCCACAGCAGGAAAATCACCCAATAAGCGCATTGTTCAGCCGAAGCCAACCATACCACGAATCGAGCATTTCTCCATTAACGCCGCAGCAGACAAACCGGTCGCCAACTCGCTACCATAGCAGCGTCCACAACCAGCAATGCCACCACTTTTGGAGCAAAGAGAAGTACAGTTTAGTACATTTAAAAGGACTCGCAGTCGGTCCGAAAACCAACCGCAAGACACTTCACATCTGGCATCTCCTCCACCGACTACACGGAAGGAAGAAAGCCAAGTTTGTTCACAGGCATTTGATACAGGCATACTTCCAGGACTAACCCGGAAGTGCAATATGCGTTCAAAATTTCGATGACTCACTGAATCCTGCAATTCGCATTACGTATCGCAGTTCGCAGCGTTCTTCATCGATGTGCGAGCCTAGACATCCACTGCTGAAAGTTGCTATCTAGTTAAAAGCAGAGACTTTCGTCCCCACAGTATAATCAGTATTAAGTAAAGGGTTTAAAATAAAAAAGCTACTAGCTCAGACCGAAGTCCAAACGCTCGCCTTTTGATAGGGCTCGCCCAGCAGTAGCCGCCAGCAATAAAGCCAGCAGCCGCCGCCAAGTAAGACCCCCAACTATTGGGTTGAAACGGTTCACGTGGAAAGTTTTTAGGTGTGGTAATGATCCTTCCGCAGGTTCACCTACGGAAACCTTGTTACGACTTCACCTTCCTCTAAATGGCGAGGTTTAAAAAAGTTCCCATCAATCCACTCGCAATAAAGCAAACAGACTCACGGTCCCAATTTTTCACCGAGTCATTCAATCGGTAGGTGCGACGGGCGGTGTGTACAAAGGGCAGGGACGTAATCAATGCAAGCTGATGACTTGCGTTTACTAGGAATTCCTCGTTCAAGACTGAAAATTGCAACAGTCTATCCCTAGCACGATGCGCATTCACAAGATTACCCAGACCTATCGATCAAGGTTGTATACTCGTTGAACGCATCAGTGTAGCGCGCGTGCGGCCCAGAACATCTAAGGGCATCACAGACCTGTTATTGCCTCCAACTTCCTTTGGTTTGATTACCCAAAAGTCCCTCTAAGAAGTCCACAAACCTACCAAAAATGGTAAGCGGAACTATTTAGCACGCGGAGGTCTCGTTCGTTAACGGAATTAACCAGACAAATCACTCCACCAACTAAGA